TTTAGTATCACTGTAGAAGATTTTTTTCTAAGACATGCATACCCAGATTCCTGATTAGTAGAGATTCCCAAGTCTATGCTACAATATTCGATATTAATAATTACATATTCCAACATGATCCAATTTAAATAATTTGCAACTCCATCCCATATATTTATTCTTTTGAATCATACCCACTGCCACTTTCTTTGTGGGTCATCACTTCATGCAACTGATGTTTCTAATTTTTGGCTTTATGCAGCTTCAAGATGAAGTCATTATTTCGGATGCCGAGAGGCTAAAGTTGACACAGAGCAATGTTAAAATGGTTTTTCTCTACACACAGAAACATGCGTGATTTTAGTTGTTTGTATTCAGGACTTCAATTCATTTCTAAGCATTTGATTTTGCAGCTTCAAAGACATTTTCAAGCTGACACACTTCCTTGGATTGAGAGGATGAGGCAAAAAGAGCAAGGTCTTCAAAGACGACTTTTAAGGGTGAGCTATATTACTGCGACCTAATTTTGACAAGTCTCTTGTCTCGCTAATTCAAATTTCTCCATTGGTCGGGATGCAACAATAACTGTCACATTTGATGGTTAGTTCACTTAGTTTTCTTCTTTTCTGTTTTATCCTACTGCAGAACGGTGGTGTCCTTGGGTAGTTTTCATGGCGTCTTATAACTGACCGATATTTAGCAGTTTTGTAAACTGGGAAACCATAACCACCTGTAAATTCTAAAATGCCAGGTTGTTCAGTTTTTCTGTTTTTGTTGGTATCCTGGACGTTTGAGAAGTTAATATATTCATGTTAGTCAAAATCGCTGTCCGGGCCGTAGGACTGCCATTATACGATTCTTACTACCTCCTACGATCCTTTGTTTACTGTATATTGCCAAATGAATAGGATCAGCTGGATCTCCATGCAGAATCACGAGTTCGTTGAAGAGCTACTGAATCGTTACTCATTAGCTATAGTTGTCGGGAAATGTGAGAAACTTCCCACTTTAGGAGCTGTTGACTTACATCTTCTACGTTGACCTCCTTCTATCGTTCTACGTTGACCTGCAGGGCTGCACCACACCGACCTCCTTCTGGGCCGTTCTCCTGGTCTTCATCCTTATCTTCTGCGTCGACCTCCTTGCATCTACCTCCACTAAACTATATGCACTTCTTTATTATGAAGCAGCAGTCAGTCCATGCAATTTTGGATTTTTGGAGGCGATTTTCACTATGGGTCATCCGGAAACAATCTCTCTGTGTTTTAGTACAGGGGTAAGACTGTCTACATTCGACCCCCCCAACCCCCAACCCCACCGTAGGTGGGAGCCCTTGCGGCACTGGGGTAATGATGATGACTGGCGCCGCATCTCTATCTTTTTTTTATAAATACAATGCTTAGTTTTTTCTTATGACTTTAACATATGACTTAACTATTTTTCTGCATTAATTTAGGACTATATTCTATAGATTTAAGTCTTACACACCTAATACCTAAATTGATTTATGGCTTATACTCTTTATCAGTATATGACTCATGTTTTACCTATTAAGTCTTACACCTAAATTATTTTGTATTATGTTCTAAAACTCTTGCTGACTGTTATTTATGAATAATATTTAGTATCTTCTTCTAATTAAAACGTCTTCCAATCCTACGATTTACCATCTTTAGACCCCCATCGTATCCTATGTAGGATCTCAAGTTTGACTACCACGAGTAAAGTTTTTATTGTAATAGGCTTTATATTAAGATACTGGTAACTCGTAGACACACATCTGCATAGATACTTCAAATCCAATCACAAGCCCTAGGAATAAACATGAAGTCATTCACCAATAAAAAATGAATCGATTTGCTGACCTCGAGACAGACAACATTAAGCTCACAGTGATCAAGTTATTGTTACTATCTCCCAATATTCAGAATTAAAAAATCAAAAGTAAAAACCCGACGCACTGATAAATAAAAGAGAAACGTGTTTGTAAAAACTACACTTTCTTAAAAAAATCCGACACGTTCTTTTTAAAGTACCATTTGATGTTACTAGTCACGAAAATACAATAGAAAAAGTTAAAAGAAATTTTAAGCATCCTAAACTCTAATTACAACTTTTAATTTTGAAGTGTTATAATTAAAGCAAAGCGATTTTGAAACACTTTCGTACTCCTTTTGTTCGATTGTTTAAGATACACTTTCATGCTTTTTAATCCTAAAATATGAATACTTTCCTAATTTGAACTTCACTAACCTTTTATTTTTCACTATCCTTTTACCGTCCATTTCACCTTTTATTTTTTCTAGATACACTACTTTATCTTCCATTGAAAAGGTTAAAATGTAAAAAACATTTCTTTCCTAATAATTCTTATTTCCTGTATTATTTTAAAACTCGTTTTACGCCCAAATGTATCTTATGTTTTGAGATGGAGGGAGTCATACCTTTATTGGTTGAAATGCAGATTATATCTCATTCATGTTTTTATATCGTAGTTTGCAATACAACATTGCATTTAGTTTCTTTTATATTCAGATCATGAAACATATCTAATGAAAAGTAATACTCCCTTCATCCCATTGGACTTTGCCAACTTTCCATTTTTGGTTGTCCCAAAAAACTTTGCCACTTTCCTAATAAATCAACTAATTTGTGGTTCTGCACATTTCTCTCTTCTCTGCACAATTCTCAACCACACAGTTTTTACTATTCTTGTATCTCACCTACTTTGCACTTGGCAAAGTCTACCGGGACGGAGGTAGTAGTTAATAATAAAACAAATGTACTTCGTTTAACTAGGACAAAGGTATTATACTATGTATAATTTTGCATCACATTTATTTGTATACTCTGTAGTCCATATGATATAGATGCCCCCTACTCTACAGAGCAGATTGTTTTGGACATCATCGGTCGTATTACGTTATCTTCCTAAAATAACTTTGTACTTAAGATTTGAAACAAAGTAATTTCCTACATTTAATTCCTCTCCCATGCCCCAACTTTAAAGGTAATGAGAATAATAGAGGCATTGGAAGGTAAAGGTTGTCGATTACCTCTGATGAAAGGTGAAGCTGATTTGGCAGAGAGGTTGGCTGCGACAACTAGACAGGTTTTTATTCTTTCTATAATGATGTAAAAATGTGTGTCCTCATTTTCTCTAGCTGGAAACCTAATGAATTGTGCAACTTACAGCTAAAAGGATCAGGAGCAGAACTTTCTCGGAGGGTTCAAAATCTTCTCACAGTTTGCCGTGTTCAAAATGGCATTGGTAGCGCTTCTTTTTATCTTCCAGGATCAACTAAAATACATGAACAGAGTCTCGTTGATATGCAGGAGGTACAATAAATTATCATTTTTTGCAATTAACTTTCCTGTTTGGATCTACTAAAAGTGTTCTATGGAGTAATAAAAATGCATTTACTAAAAGATGTAATTAAACGCTTAGCAATGCATTTACAAGTTTGCTTTTGGCTAGTATTTCCGAAAAAAGTTGCTCCATTTAGAAGAAACTCCTATTAAATGCTTCTTTTAAAATCAATTAGGTCTCCTTGAAATGATTTCGCATTTGGAACTGAAGTATTGGGAGTTAGATAATGAAATGAGATGACTTACGGTGCCTCCAATTTCAAGCATTAAGACAACCCTGGAATGATATAATTCCTGGGTATTTTGAACCCAAACGAGGACCCCACTATTGTGATTATAGTTCACCAGAATTGGTAGCCAAACAATCAAGGCCAAAGCATGTGTGGTTTTCATTTTTTGACTTTTAAATGCACTTCAAAAACCGCAATCCAGTATATCACTGCACTTTTACCCTCTGTAAGGATTATACTGTTTTTCTTTTACTGTTTTGTGTCACCAGGTTTTGCAACAACAAACGGAGGCCATTGCTAGGCTTGGGAATGTGCTGAAGCGAGATCTAAGGGATATGGAGATCATAATGACTGAAGACAAAGGAATGATAGAAGATTAATCCAATGTTCCTCTCTTAGTTTTGGATCTTGATATTTAAAAACTATAGTTTGTTATGGATTGTGTAAAACCATAGTCTGTTTGGTGAAGGCAATGCAAGATAAAGATGGATTTATATGCAAACCAATTTATGTATTTATCCTGTGTGTTGCAATGCTCTTCAAATGAACTCATGAAGTGGGTTGGTACAAAAGGCTTAATCTAATAGGTTTGTCAACAAGATTGATTGGATACAATTTCTGTTTGGATTATAGTACTGACTACTGAGCAAATCAATTTCTGATACAACATTACCCGTGTTGTACAGCTTCCACCAAGAGTGGTTATTGGTGCAAGAATGATTGGATGTACGTAGTCTTACTTTTATTTTATAGAAAGATTGTTTCTGAATAACACATGATAAAAATCATGTAGAAAATGACATAATATGGATATGTGATTCCTATATATACGTATTTTAAAAACTTAAAGTGCTGTTCTAAATTTGTATTATGCTCTAGACTCTTGATTTTTTTATTGATTTGTTTTCATACTTTCACGAGTTCATCACTCCGGGTTAATTCCGCCAAATCTAGAGGCTGTTTGGCAGCACTGTTTTTTGGCTTATCAGACTTATCTACCAACTTTTCCACCAAACACGTAACCATTTTAGCTATTTTTACATATAATTTTTTCTTTATTTTATTAATAAAATATATTTTAAAATTATTTTTTTCTTAAAACAGGAGAATCAGCCAATGCAGCCACTTCATCCAGAACTTCATAAATTTCAGCAAGATCAACCAAAACAGCCGATTTTCGTTCTACCAAACGGGATCCTGATCTTGCACTTATTAGAGCATTGCTAAATGCTAAGCCCCATAATCGTACCCCATTGAAGAGAATCATGTAAAAATTGTAAAAGAACTCACATTTCAAAAGACGTGTTTGTAATATCCATACGAGTGTACGACCATTGCTTCTTTCTCAGCCAGCAAATAAAGATGTTCATCTCCAAACATTTTAATGTGGTTTTCATGTGTTTAAATGTTTAATACGGAGAATATCAAAGAGAAATTGTTAATAAACTAATGAACAAACTCCAATATGAAACAACTTCAAGCATGCAATGATCTGATTGAATACAATACATATTCAAAATGACCAAATTTGGAGATAGAGCTCTTGCATAATGAGATAACCGATAGTACAGTGTTGATAGTCAAGAAGGATGCAACTTCAGATCTGATGAAATCTAAGCATGTAAGATTGTGCATAAAAACAACCGTAAGATTGTGCATAAAGACAACCGCAGGGAAAAGGAAATAAGCAGATCAAATCAAGAAACACTGTCAGTTGCGGTGGGGGGGGGAGGGGTCTCAGGCAACAGGCACATCAGTCATTTCATGTTCCACTGCTGCAGGCTCTACGGGATTGTAATGGTAGTAAAGCTCTCCAACATCATCACCCGATAGTTTCTTCCATCCATTTGGGCCAACATGATAAACTGAAAGCAACAAAAAACCAATATTCAGAAATACATGCATTGCCACAAATGTGCACCGATTCCAAGGCTAAACCTTCTCCTGTTTCATCCTACTGTTATTTGCGGGTTTATGAATTGGATTTGAGGAGGGGGGATGTGAAGGAGAAAAGGGGGATATCATACCACTTGCAACACCTCCACTGGCCCCATCTCGGAATGTTGCATGATAAATAGCCCGTTTCCCTAACTCTGCAGCTTCTTCAACAGACAAATCATATCGATACCTATACAAGTTTATCAAAAAAATTGTGGCACTTCAGAACATAAATTGGATGACATCAATGTCTACTTTCAAATGTGAACAGAATTCAGTATGATATACAGACAGGGTGGGGGGGGGGGGACAAGTACCCTGAAGCAAAGACAATTGGTGGACAGAGGTCCTTGACTCATGAGAAGAAATAAAAGTTTCCAGGGTAATTCTAACTTCCCCAAGGGTTCTTATATGAAACCACAAAGTAGTGCAACTTTTTACTACACGAGCTCTCACACCACGAGTAAAAACAAAAAAGGTATTTTACAACACAAAGGTGAAGCCTGTAAGAGACCACGAAACATCCATTAAGGTCAAACGAGGATCCTATAGGGGGGAATGAGCATCTTAAAGGAAAAATGACCAGAATGAAAAACATGAACATGTGCCAAGTTGAAAAAGAAATGAGCATCTGTAAAAGGAAAATGAGCGACCATCACAAAAATAATAAAAATGCCACTGGGTGTACAAAAGCTGGGTGTACAAAAGCTGGGTGTACAGTATAGTTTGCAGAAAATGGATAACCCACATTCAAATTGATACTCTATTTCATGCCTTTTATGCTCCTTTCAATCAGAAGCATTTATTCATCATTCATGTATGCAAATTCCAACAGCAATCAATACTATTACCGAGCCATTGTTTACAAAAAACACAGATCCGTTATACATGAGTTTATGTACCAATTCAAATTGAACCTAATATGTGCCTAAAATGTTTTGCAACAGAACCTTTTATTTTATCAGGAAACTCTTCAACAATTGATATGTGCAGCCAGAAAATGGATAACCCACATTCAAACTATTTTAGCTAAAATGTTATGCCTGTATAAGCTATTTTTTTTAGCTCACTCCAAAAACAGAAAAAAATGAGTGAAGAAGAATACAACAACATTCAAGTTTGTGGTCGGCTAACATGAATAGACATATTAAATCTGAGCCAAAAAAGCGAAAAAGATAAAAGATAAAAAAAGAAAGAAAAAAATGATAAAATAAAAGGATAAAAAGGATAAGATAACGAGTGAAAATTACCATCGGGTAATTTCTAGTATAATTTACTCTAGTACTGTATTAGCAGTAGAGTTCCAGGAATATCCTTTAAGATGTACATTACTTACATAAAAATGATGCAACAGAATGAGAAAGGTAATAATTCCAATGTAGGCGATAAAACATACCCATTATCCAGAACTCCATAAGCATATGGAGAACCAGATCCCACAGAGAACCTGTTTCCCTTTAGCCGTCCACCTTCACTATCCACATAATATAGTCCTGGACCCTGCATCCATCAATCCATGATGCAATATATTTTAGAATAGTTGAGCTACAGTATAGTATTCAGCACATAACAAATTGTATTTTAATCATTTATTATACCTTTTCATCCCAACCAGCAATCATAGTCCCAACTGATAAGCCCATTCCACGGTAAGAATATAAAATGTTAGCCAACAACTTTGAAGCTCCAGCAATTGAAATTCTTCTTTTATTTGCCAGCTCATGGAGACGACACTATACCAAGCGGGAAAACATCAGGTTGCAATTTGTAACATATAAAACCAAACTTCCAGAAGCTATAATTTTTTTTTTGCAGGAAAAGTTTCACCTCCCTCATACACATTCTTGTTTGCAGTACACAGTTTGCCATACATGAGTTTAAACCATTCTCCTTTGTTTGCTTTTTTGTACTTCTAAATTTTAATTTTTATACTTGTAAATTAGTATAAATGACGGAGGTTTATTTAAAATCGCCTAAAACTAAACTAATTTATTAGACACCAAGCTCTGTGGTTCGTGGCACCAAGGCTAATTCCCAGAGGGAAAGCCTTCTCTGTTGATTCTTACACACCCCATCCCCCAATTGGCCAATTCTATTAGCTTCTTCTCTGCATAGAGCATCACACCAGCCGAGCCTCCATTTGAATCTTCTTATCCATGTTCAAGACCAACGATTGACAACCAGAGACATGCTTCCTCTGATTCTTATTTTTTGTGTCCAAGTTCGAGGAGTCTGCACTCTGCAGCATTGTGTCGGGCAACTATTCTCAGCAAGCTCCTCATACATCAAATATTTTACTATCTTTCCAGTGTCTGACTACTGGAGCCTACCTATTGCTTAAAGTAAAATTTTCAGTTATTCCTAAAGTTATTACTTTGCTTCTGCAAATGTTTTATTTACACTGTTATTTTTAATCCTCATCAGGTTTTAAGACGTGTTTTATAGATCTCCATCAAGTTTTTGGTTATATTTTAAAATTCATTGTCTTTTGAAATTCAACTTTGGCTAATAACTGTATGTCTGGCGTACTAGACTACTACTACCAGCCTTTCACGGTTGCACCTACAGCAGGTCAAACTTAAAAATGAATCACTAAACCACTGAAGTTGGGAAAAACATATGATGCACATGATAAAAATGCCTCCTCTTCTATAGCAAGAAATTAATGAATTAGAAATTTGAACATCATCTTTAATAAAATACCTTGATCCCAAGATTCCTGTGCCAGAATTGGCAATCAGCAGCACCTCCTGCCATTGTGCCAAGCATATATGGATTTATTTCTATGATCTTTTTCACAGACTGTGATGCTGCAAAAAAGAACGTGGAAATGGAATGCTCATCTTTCACAGTAACCAGAAAATGGAAACTATTAAAGAAAAAATAACTGGTGACTATAGGACCCCAAAGTTAATTAATATACTTAACGTGATAGTAGTCATAGTACTATACAAAATAGTACACAATACTTCAATAATATATTTATGCATATTAGAAACCACTCCCTCCTTTTCATATTAGTGTTACTACTTTACTTTTTGAGTTGTAGCAAATTCGTATTTTTATCTCCTATTTTGGAAAGGTCAACCACTTAAAATTTTGTATCTTTCCGTTTTATTTCCACTGTATTCTTCCCTAAATTTCTCTCTTCATAAAAAGCTATAAAAAGATATGCACTACCAGCACTCTATAACCATGTGCGAAATGAAATGATAATAGCAGAAAACTAATATGGAACTGAGGGAGTATGGGAAAGAAAGAGCATATATACTCCGTATAATTTATATGTAAGAATCTGTCGCTCAAAACCAATACAGTTCATTCTTAATCATTATCATATTCAAGGTAAGCTAGAAAATAGAAATTAGTAAGATCAAAGAGGACCGGTGCCTATAAGATTTCATTGTTACTGTAAAAAATTCAACTGATATACTGTTCAAGGTTTCAAATACTTTGATGATCTTATATCATATTACAAAACTATATAGAAATATTGATTTAACAAATGATTTTTATATAAAATATGTAGAATATATAGATATTCATATCTTTATGTTCAGATTGATTGCTCAAAACCAAGGCAGCTCATTCTCAAACATAAGTTAGTTTACACCCAGTGTTACAAACTCACTTGTTTATTGTGAAATATCTTTATACACAGTATTGGTGAAACACAGACAAACAAATTTCTAACAATAATAAGCTTTTCAACATTTCCCTGTATGATAGAATGATATTAAGCTAAGAAGAAAAAGGACTCACATATGTATCCTCCCATGCTAGCACGAGAATCAGCTGCCACAATCACACCATCCTTAAAGATAAAAGCTAAGGTGGTGGTTCCCTTAGCAGGCTTCACCATTTGGATCGCTTCCTTCTGAAACCCATCGAACTAAAACAACACCAGAAGAAACGTGTATCAGACTAATAACTAAAGTTACACCAGACCAGAAAGCTGGAAACTTCCCAATTTAAATCAATTCCAGCTAAGCATATGCATTTGTAATAATCATAATACAATTAAGTCCAACTCACATCAGTAGCATTGGGAATCTGGAAAGATGGGGCTCTTGGAATTACATCGAACAACTCAGAATTCTCCACACGAAAAGGGGCAGTTGATTCGATCCCACTAAAATCAATTTTCATCATTCTTGCAGCCTTTTATAAAAAAGACAAATGAAAACGGTGAGTTGTATGTATACTTACACTACAAGAATGAGCAATTGAAAAGCTCAAAATGATTAACACAAGAGAAATCTTCAAATCTCTCTATATATAAAAGCTGGACAGCCTGGGATAACTGTTCCCGCTTGACAAATGATGAGGTCAATATGACATCGTCGTGGTGTCATCACGGGATGATATGACGCGTGCTTGCAGTTAATCTGCAGATTTTGGCTTTCCTCCTTACGAAGGCAACACTGCCAGCGGATTGCTTGGTCATTAAGCTACAGCTTATTCGAACTCCTTAGAAAATTATTCATCGTTTAAATGAAAGAACAGATAAAGAACAAACCTCAACAACACCAGCTTGATCTATTCACTGCTGATGAGATAAAATAAGATAGGTAGGAACAAACAAATTAAGCTCAGGACCTAAGGAGAATATAGCGTAGAGAGATGGTAGGGGGAGAGGAGATGGAAGCGGGGAGAGCAATATAGCGTACGACCGTCTGGAAATTGTAGATCGGATGAATTGGACCGGATCCACTTTGGGCCAATTATATTTAACTAAATATGTATTTTCATGTCTAAATTATTTATTTATATCTTAAAAATGAAGAGTGAAGATAAATACAAAGTGTATATTTATACTCCCTCCGTCCCAATATAAAAGGCACACTTTCCTTTTCGATCCGTCCCAATATAAAAGGAACATTTCCCTTTTTGGCAAACAAAACAGTGCAAAACAGTGTCAAACAGTGTCCAAACAGTGTCAAACAGTGTCTAAACAGTGCCAAACAGTGTTCAAACAGTGTTCACCCTTAAAATGTCTAGAAACGCAAATGTGTCTTTTATATTGGGACGGAGGGAGTATATATGTTGTTCAGTTCGGTTTACGGTTTTTCCGTTTTAAACCAAAGTACCAAACCATTCGGTTTGAGCACATGTTTACCAAACAATTTACTTAAGTAAACCCAAATCAAACCAAATCAAACCACCAATTTTAATAATAGATGAAAGTTGTTTTGAGTTTCTTTAGTTCGGTTCGGTTTTGTTTGGTTTTTATCGGTTTCGGTTCGCTTTAATACGGTTTGAAAGAAATAGTACCAAACTCAAACCAAATTGCATACGGTCCGGTTTCGGTTTGGTTTAGTTCGGTTCGGTTCGGTTAAACCAAACCGTTATGCCTACCCCTACTAAATCATTTAATCATTTAATTTGACAGATTTTATATGAAGTATAGTTTTTGTAGTACTTATTTCGTAACATTTAAATCGATCAAATGGATTGAATCTATTGAAATTGATAAAATATTAGTTGAACCAGTCGACCTCACTAATTTGTTGATTTGCGTTCGTGACAAATAAAGAAAGTCTTATGAAAATGACTACAATGATCTCCTATAGTAATTTTAACAAATTCAATTGCAAAAGTAACTTAAAAGTCAATAAAACTCACTTACGTTAATAGAAATTGTCCAAAATAGGAGTAAAAATGTTTTGGAATTCCAAACAAGATTTTAATGTTTTTATTCCCTAAATAGGAGTAATTCTGCCAAGTTTGGAAAAAAATGTCATGTTTAAAGCCTAAAATGTCAAACTTGGCAGAAATTTACTCATATTCAGAGAATAAAAAACACGACAATCCTATTTGGGAATTTCAAAACCTTTTTACTTCTATTTAGGGAATTCTCTCTTGATTAATACATACTTCTGTACGCAAACCCTCTTGATTTTATATCATAAATTAATTTAAAACCACAGATATGGTGAAAATATTAGTTGTTAAACAGGCTCTTAACAGCTTTAAGTTGGAAATTAAATGTTTGAATTAGTGATAAAATTTTAAATTAATATGTTTTAAATCTAAAAAACTAATCCAAAATTTAACCTAGGTATAAAATTTACTCACATCAATAAGCAATGAAATATTTACATAAATTTTATAAATTGTTTTTGCTACATCTGATTATTTTATATATACCATATTTTATGAATCCTAAATTTTATTATTCATTATAATGAAAAGGTACAAATACACCATTATATTATGGGTGTGGGAACAAATATACCCTTGTTCTATTTTTCGGAACAGATATGTCCCTAAAGTATATGTGAAAGTGCACATATACCCTTGAACTTTTAAAATGTGCAAAAATATCTCTCATACTCTTATAAGGGAGCAAATTTACCCTTATTGGCTTTAAATTGATAAAATAAATTTCAAAAAACACCAAAAATAAATTATAAATTATAAATAAAAAATAAAAATATTAAAAATGTACTTGTGCCCAATTCTCCCTTTTAATGTTTTTATATCACAATTTAATATTGCTAGTATAAAATATTATTTCAAAATCAGTCCAAGACTACAAAATAATGAGTTTAATTTAATTAAGGATAAACAAAATCAAAGAATGTTATTTCAAAAATGTAACATGTGCTCAAAATTTAGCAACATGACTAAAATGATAATTTATGAATTTGAAGGGCTTCATTTACAACGAAAAAATACTAATTTTTATATTTAAGTTAAATATTTAATATTTTAACATATTAATATTTTTTTTTAAATTTCGAACATTGAATTTATTTTTGGTATTTTTTTTGAAATTTATTTTATCTATTTAAAGTTAATAAGGGTAAATTTACTCCTTATAAGAATACGAGGGATATTTTTGTACTTTTAAATAGTTCAAGGTATATATGTAGTTCAACATACACTTCAGGGGTATATTTTTTTTTTCGGAAAACAGAATATGAGTATATTTATTCTCACACCTATGACTGGACTCGGGCCGGTTCGGGCCTGGGCCCGGTTCAGGCTTGGGCCCGCCGGGCCTCGGGCCAGAAAATTGGGGCCCGAGCCCGAACCGCCGGTGGCCGGTTCCGGGCCAAACCGGGCCGGGCCAAACCGGTCCATTTTTTTTTTGGTTCTCCTATTTAACCCCCTCCCCCTCAACCCCAAACACCCCCAAACCACCTCAAATGGCCCAAAATACCTAATCCAACCCAAAACTTAAAAAAATTTCAAAAAATAAATAAATTAAAATCCGGCCCGAACCGGCCGGGCCGGTTCGCCTAAAGCAGGGCCCGAGCCCGGACCGCCCATCACCCGGGCCGGGCCAAACCGAACCGCTGGACCCACCGGGCCAAACAGTAACCGGGCCGGGCCGGTTCTGGGTCGGGCCGCCCGGCCCGAGTCCACCCCTACTCACACCTATACCACACAGGTATATTTATACTTTTCCCTTCATTATAACTATCATTTTCTTATGTTAACTGGTGTTTATAAAAAATGTTGTATTGTAGTTATTCATTTATTTGAATTGAAAAGAGTTTTATAATTGAATTTTAATGTTATTTTGAAGAATTGGATTGTGTGAAAATAAAAAGTGCAGTTTGTGCACTTTAAAATGTGCAGTTTTTGACGGAGTATTAAAACTGGCTCAAGCTCTTCAGTTTGGTGTACACTTGTTTGTCTTTCACAGACAATTTGTCTGTGAAAGACAGACAAGTGTACACCAAACGTGTACACAAAACGTGTACCTCTAGCATTTTTCTATTCAAATTAATGAATCAAACTATGTGTACTTGAGATAATTTCAGTCCCGATTATTAGAAGCTCAATTATTAGACTTAGATTTCACCACCCACAAATGAGTCGCAAAAGTCGCTCACCATGTAACGTGATATGAAAAATCTACAATTTCCTTAAAAAAATTAAACTGAACTAACAGAACATAAGAAAAAGTGTATATAAGCAAAATATAAATACTTTTGAAACTAATCATCTGTTATGATCATGTAGCCGTAGCACTCTTGTCTGATTCCAGTAGGCATGTTGCGCGCCATTGACGATTTGGGGGAAAAAATCCTACTCCGTCCGTCCCTATATAAAAGCCACACTTTCCTTTTTGGGATGTCTCTATATAAAAGACCCATTTCCCTTTGGGAAAGTTCCCAAAATAGGACTAAAAAAGTTTGAAAATTTCAAAATAGGACTGTCATTTTTTTATTCCCAAAATAGGAGTAATTACTGCCAAGTTTGGAAAATACTGCCATGTTTGAAGTCTGGTACTGCCAAAACATGACAGTAATTAGTCCTATTTTGGGAATAAAAACATGGTAGTCCTATTTTGGAATTTTCTAACTCTTTTAGTCCTATTTCGGGTAATAATCTCTTTCCCTTTTTGGCAAACAAAACAGTGCAAAACAGTGTCAAACAGTGTTTCTTCTAAAGATGTGTGCAAAAGTAAATGTGTCGTTTATATAGGGACAGAGGGAGTATGAGATAAGTAGATCTATGCCTCGAAGAATTCCTTCAATAACAATTAAACAACAATATAACATCTTGTAGCAATTCGCGTTGCTAATTTGAACAGAGACAATCCATAAATTGAAAGTCAAAATTGGCAGGATAGTAAGATTTCCAAACAAACTAGGGAATAAAACACCGCTCATACGAGCACCAAAGCACTTTTTAAACATTCTTTATTCAAATATGGGCGGCTAGGGCTGTTCATCCATGCTCTCGGATCTTCAGTGGAGTCGTCATTCTTGTCAAATTCTAGTTAAATCGGTTGAATTAGCTAATCTGCTAAATTATAAAAACTATATATTTAAATGTATTTTATTAATAAGTCAAAGAAAAAATTATATTGAAAAATAATTAAAATAGTTTTTTTGCTAGCAAATTCAGCCAAAAAACTGGACTCGAACTTTACTTGTTTAGATGCAATTTGTTATTTTTACGAATGTCCTTATTTATTAAGTTTGCCTCGTTAATCGTCTTGAGATTCTTCTAACGCCTTAATTTGACTACATGAGTCACACAACAATTAATTTTACTTATCTGACTAAATGTTAAAATGGATCAAATATTAATTAGATTAAATAACATTCAATTAATGATTTTTAAGGATTGTTCTATTCAACATAATTAAGATAAATTAGATTTGTTATATTTGGTGAAACTAAACCCACCGGAAAATAACACTCCCTCTGTCCCAAAAACAACTTCACACTTTGACAATCACACAGATTAAGAAAATAAATTTGACTTTATAGTAGAGTGCACTGTTTAAACACTATTTAGCACTGTTTTGATGTAAATAATTTGCCAAATAAGGAAAAGGGAAAAGGTGCAAATAGGCCAATGTACTAACCAAAAAAGGTCAAATAAGCCCTTATTTAGGAGACTGTCCGGCCGTCGTCATTTGGGGTGGTTCCCGTTGGAATTTTTTGATGATTTTTTTTAGCATCTTATTCATCAAGTCTAGTTTACTCATACCAAATTTAAGCTAAAACTTCAATCTGGAAGGCATTCAAATGAATTTTTGAATATAACTGTGCTTCTAACTGCGCAGTTATTTTCAAGAATTCATTTGAATGCCTTCCCGATTGAAGTTTTAGCTGAAATTTGATATGAGTAAACTAGACTTAATGAATAAGATGCTCAAACAATTTCATCAAAAAATTCGTACGGGAACCACCCCAAATGGCGACGGCCGGACAGAGCTTCCTAAATAAGGGCTTATTTGACCTTT